TAATCTTTATTTGTTTTGAAATTAAGGTGGTTGATGAAACACTTCGTCTGGTAACCTTCTCTCTCATGGTGTTTCGCGTGGCAAATAAGGATGTCAATATTTCGGGATATACAATTCCAGCGGGATGGAAAGTTTTGACGTGGTTTAGAGGTCCTCACTATGATGAGGAGCTATATGAAGACCCATTTGCATTCAAACCTTCTAGATGGGATGTAAGTTCAATTCCATCAATTCGTTTAGCAATCCATCTTTTCTTTTCCCCATTTTTATTATTATCATTGGAAATGTATATATATATGACTGACACAATGATTGAAATTGGTGCAGGATTTTACACCAAAAGCAGGAGCTTTTCTTCCATTTGGAGCGGGAAGCAGACTCTGCCCAGGAAACGATCTTGCCAAGCTCGAAATCTCTATTTTTCTTCACCATTTTCTATTGGGTTACGAGTGAGTTTAATTTAATTAATACATTTGCTTAGCTTGTTTTCAAGGTTTCTTGGATTTTTGCGCTGCTGACTGGGTTACGTTATTTGTTTTATTTAATTTGTAGGCTGCAGCGAAAAAATCCTGATAGTCCGCTCATGTATTTACCACACACCAGGCCTAAAGACAATTGTCTGGGAAAAATAATAAGAACATCATCTTCGATTGTCAAGACAGCAAAATAAACAACCTCAACTTGTAGCGGCATACTCTATTGTCTCGATCTCTTCAAAATTAATCTATGTTATCCTTTATTTTCCCTTTAAACTTCCTTATCTATAAAAAGTTTATTGTTGGGATGATTTCTTGACCCCACAAATATAATGATGACATACTATCTCTTCACATTTCATCAACAATTATATTTGCAAGTTCAATGAACAGGTTAATCAATTCAACCAACTTAAATCTTCAAATGTATTCAACAATTTGGGTTGGTGGCACAGTCCAAAATCAGGGCCCAACATGTTGCATGGACCAATTATCTTATTAATTTAGCCATACAAAATTTTACAAAACCATGTGTCATCTAATTAAATTACATGTCCACTTAAACCTATAAATTTTTGTAAACGAATTGGATAGTGAAATAACACATATAATAATGACATGTACAATATGTGACTAAACAAAAATACATTTAAGTGTTTTGTTGGTCTGTTTCTTGATTTTTGGTAATGTTCAATGTTTAATGTCTTCATATGTGTCTGCCTTTAAAATGCCATTTGATGGTTCACATTTGTCTATGAACATATAGCAGATTTATGGATTCTCCCATTTGATAGTGATTAGCTACACTGTATCTTAGTGTTGGTTTCTTATTAATGTAATGTATAGCAGTTTCTTATATTGGTATTAAATCCCTACATACCTGTGCTATATAGAGATTTTGTTTTATTAATTAATTCCCTTAGTTGTCTTGATGTTCAAAATGTTGTTGTTTTATAGTGAGGCATTAGATGAGAGGAACCTAAACCATAGTAGAACATATTTTTTAGTACTCTTCTTAGCATACTATATAAGTATATGTATCTATAATTTTAGTAAGAGCCAATAATGTTAGGCCCTTAACTGAAACAAAAAAATGTTGGTACTATTGTTTTTTTAAAATGAATGGTTAATATTATTTTGATTTTAGTAATTTTTAATTATTTTTCTTTTTTATCCTCTATTATATTATTTCCTTCCCTAAAATAACCCTATATTCTGTTAGTATAAACTTTAGTAACGGAATATTCCGTTAACTATTTATTATTCTTAACATACTGATTAATTTATATAAGAAAGGTCTTAGGTTCGAACCTCATCCCAATTAGAGTTGGCATAATTGTTAAACATATATTATGAATATGTTAAAATGTATTAAAAATATATATATAATATAAAATTTAACATAAACTTTGATCAAATAATTAGCCCGACTAAATATATAGCAATCCAATGTATTCAACAATTTCGTTTGGTGGCACAGTCCAAAATTAGGGCCCAACATATTGCACGCATCAATTATCTTATTAATTAAGCCATAAAAAATTTTACAAAATTGTTGGTCCCGGTAGGGTCGAAAGGAGAGTTTAGAGGGGGGGGGGGGGGGGGGTGAATAGACTCAATTCATTTTTCACGAATAATAACTCCTTTCGGGGTTATTACGCAGCGGATATGTAGGTGAATTTTAAAGTTTCTTTGCACTGTTTGATCTTATGAGAAACTTTCGGTTAGGGCTAATGGAATGCGATGCACGAAAGTAAATGCTGAAATGTAAAGAGACCGAGACAAGAGAATTTTTATAGTGGTTCGGCCAACTGTGCCTACTCCACTCTTTTTCCACAACTTGTGAAAGGTTTGCACTATCACTCCTAGTACAAATTACACCAAGATAGCTTCCTTGATCACTAAGCCAGATAGCTACTTAAAGGTTTTTCAACTCCTTGAGTTTACTCCGCCTCTATCAACTTCTTCTTCAGAGTTGAGGGTTGGATTGGATAATCATTGAGTTTCTCCAACACGTTGAAATCTTGACTGGCTGGTGGCTGGATGGATGATCAGCGTGTACAAAGATGCAAGATTTCTTCAAGGATGTGTGAATGAATTCAGATGAGTCTTCTTCAAATTTCACACCTTCAATCGCTGGATTTCAAAAGTCTGAGAGAATGAACTTGTATAAGGAGCTTTTGAGAGAATGAATTCAGTTGTTCTAAAAACCAGCACCTTCTAATGTGGAGAAGATGAGTATTTATAGGTGTGAAGAAATCCATCCGTTGGAGGGAGATGGCATTTCAAACCTATGATCCAGTGGTTAATAACCGGAGAGCCTTGTGCATTTGTTGCTTCATTAAATGCAGTTGTACTATATAGACGTTGGAGATAAGCACTTTTGCTTATTTTGTCTTCTAGCTCTGAAAAGTAGTACTGTGTCATTTAATGCACCTTGATAAGTGTGCTCTCAATCCTTATGAGAGTTTATTCCTAGGATGATCTTTAGATGAGACGTTTGACAACATTCTTTTTGAGTTGAGAGAAAATAGGTTGTCTTGACTGTCATAAAGTTCTCTTGAACTGAATGCTTCTTTCAGCTTCTGCTTTCTGTATTATAAGATCATCTCATCTTTCGTTGTCCAGTAGAGGTGAGGTTGTGCTTCATCGAACTGTTCTTCTTTCGTTGAGCGATACCTAACTAAAAATAAGCTTAACCCGGTTTCGTGTGTTTGTCTAGCTTAACACGAATTACAAGAATGAGTTAAGGTACCTTTCGTCTAGAACGAAGGTAACAAGCCAAACAACAAAAAGTTAGGGGTCTACTTCTAAGTTACATTGGTATCATCAAAATCCTAATACATATGTTCCTAACAATTTCCCCATTTTTAATTATGCCAAAACCTATACTCTCTTTATAAGGCCGATAAATATCCCATAAAGGATTTTTCATTACAAAACATCCATCGAGAAGAGTTTACATATGATTTCTAAAAGAATGTAAGATAATACAAGTATACAAAGCAAATAACTTAGATAAAGACACGATAGATTGAGATAAAAGTGACTTTTATAAAGATAAAAAACACTTACAAGTACTGTCACTGGTGTTGAGGGAAAAGAAACCTTTACATATCTAAAAGTTTCGCCTTCTGAATCTGAGCTTCTTCTCTTTCCTTGTCATCTCTCTCTTTTTGTTTCTTGAGCATCCTTTTCATGTCGATGTCTCGGTTGATATGCTCTCTGTATTTTTGAATTGAGCTTTCTCTCATAATGTCTTCATATTCACCTTTGATGTTGCTGCTCACGTAATTGTTGTATGCTTCGAGGATGTTTTCTCTTTCAACTATGCCGAGATTCCACCATGTTATGAGTTCACATGAGTGCATTCCTTCGGCGTAGCTTTTTCCTGATTCCTTGTGAATTTTGAAGGCAACATTATATTTGACTCCAGTCTCAACATCTTTCTTGACTTTTGTGACATCTTTTATGGCTTCTTTGATTCGTTCTCTTTCAACCAGTTATTTCTCTCTGGCAAGTCTTGCTTCTTCTTGTTTATTCCAGAGTTCTCGGTTTGCCCTATTGATTTCTTCGTTTCTTTGAGTCTGATGGACTTACCGGAAGTAATTATCTCTTTTCTTCATCCACACGGGTATGTTGTACCCTTCAAACCGTTTTCCACTTCCTTCTTCGTAAGGTTGGTATGTGTGGAAATTTCCTACAACATCCATCGTTACGGTATCCTTTCGCATCAACCTTTGGCGAAGGTTCTTTTGCTCTCTGCTCATTTTCCCAGAAAGTGAGAACTCGGAGGTGGATCCGAAGGATTGGCGAGGTTTGATGGAATGCTGTTTGGGTCGAGAGTGGTGTTGTTGACGAGATCTTGATCTTGAAGGTGATGATCTTGTGTTTCTTCTTTCCTCTTGTCTTGGTGAGCTTCTTCTTTCTTGTTCTTGTCTTGTTGGTCTTCCTTCATTGCTTCTTCCAAGGGGAGATCTGTTTCTGTCATCGTCCTTGTCATCATAATCTTTTATGTCTTTTTCCCCCTTTTTGGCATCATCACACGGAGTTTCAGAGAATCTGGTCAGGCTTTGAACTGCAATGAGAATATCCTTGAGGTATTCAAACATGGTGAGTTGATATTCAGCCATCCGAAACATATTATCATGCCCGAGATCAATCTTTGTACAAGCAAGATCCACTCGTTCTTTAAGACCGAAGTGAGCACATTTAAGAGCATGTTGTTCCTTAGAGATTTTGTCAAGAGTAGCTCGTTGTTCCTTGAGTTCGTGTGCAAGCCTATCTTGAGCATCTGGATTTGAAGTGTTGGGATGTGGACGAGACATTGTTTCTGTCAAGCGGTCGACCTTGGCTGATAGATCTGCTATGTTTCGACTATCTTTCTCTCCGTGATGCAGATATTGCTTGTGAATGAGTTCAGCAGTGAAAACTGTATTCAGCATTTGGTGCATGATGTGCTCAGGACTAAGATAATCCATGCCAGGTGCTTGGTCATTCGCATGAGGTGATGTTTCCCGATTTTCATAGTGATGCATCCATGTTGTCATCACGAGCTGTATCTTCAAGAGGAGGTAACATGGTGAGAGGTAACTCACGTGTTAGACCTACTATGATGGGAGAGTCACTATCATAATCCGAATTTCCATCATTAGCAAGATTAGTGTTATCTTTTCCTTCATCATCATCATCGTCATCATCTTCATCTCCGCCATCGTCATGAGAATCGTCTTGTTCATCACTTGATTTGTCATCTTCATCTTCATCTTTATCATCTTCTTCATTCACATGAGGTTCTTCATTATCATTCTCTGAATCAGAGTTCGCCTCTCTGCTTTCGTTTTCAGATGTTCTTTCGTCGTCATGTTCAATCTCCTTTCCTTCGTCATCTTTGAGTCCACTGACATTGCATGCTAGGTCGTTCTAATGAGTTCGTTCTAGCTCTGTCTTGACTTTGGACAAAAGTAGGGCATACCGAAATTCTTTCATCTCTTCGACGAAGGCTGGGTCCAATGGCGGCTTGTTGAGCTCAATGCAGATGGGTGCCTTTTCTTTCCCGAGAGTGCGATGGGTCACTTTGTATGAGTACACACGTTTGATAGTTTCAAGACGCAAAGCTTCATAGACGTCTTGTGTACCAATCCACTCTAAGGCGAACTCTTCTTCATCCTTCATTTCCTCAAACATTTCAAGAAACGTTCGTAATGGAGAGGTGCGCCATTTCTGCCATTGCATAACCCTTTGGAAATTAGTCTCAATAGATTCTCGAAGCAGTTGATCTCTTAATGGAGGAATTGGGACAGCTTCGAGTACTGACACAATTGCTTGAGAGCTTTCGGGTATAACCGATTTGGGCAAGACTTCAGGCTTGGGTTGAGCTTCTTTCTGATCGGATTTTATTAGAGGAGTCATTTCTCTCGTCTCAGCTGTTTGACTAGGTTCTTGTGGGAGACTTAAGTGACTCGAAAGATATGGTGTGGTTTCATCCTCTTCTACCCTGACAAGTTCTTGTGTCAGAATGGGAGCCATCTGCTCTGTTCGGGTAGGTTCTTGTGGGAGGGTTGGTTCAGCGACAGTTGTAATTTGACCATCGATCACTCCTCTCGTCTCTTCTGGCATGCCAGGTTCTTGTGGGAGACTTAAGTGATCGTTCAGAGGCTTAGATCCTTGAGCTTCTTTGTCCACCACGGCAGGTTCTTGTGTCAAACTCATGTCGAGTTGCTCTGCCTGGATGGGTTCTTGTGGTAAGGATTTTTTCGAACTTTCGGTGCTCTTTGATCTCTTCTTTCTTTTCTTCGATTCCTTTCTTTTCATTTCTTCCCCCTGAGAAGATGCAAGCTTCTTCTTTAGTTTGGATAGCAATATTGACTCAGGAAGGGGAGCCAGTTTCGCCATGATCTCGTTTGCTTTGGCAATTGTGGGCCGAAAGTGGCTTTTTGTTGCTTTCACAGGAGTAGATTGTGCAGCCTCTTCTTCTTCTGAGGAATCAGCAATTATAACAGGTTCGGTTGAAGATATTTGAGGAGTCTTATGAGAAACATCTTTCGTGACTACTTCCGGTTGAGGTGACGTGGGGGTTTTCATTTCAATGACTGGTGGAGCGGTAATAGTAACTTTCGGTGTTGCTTCGGGTTGTTCCAAGGATGGTTCTTTTGCTTTGGGTGCAGAAGAGCTTTTGTCCTTTCGTGGTCTTTTGGCCATGGGCACATCATCATCACTTTCCTTAGATCATTTGGACTTTCTCACTTTCTTCACTGATTCCAACGGCAAGTCAAGCTCTAATGCCTTCTGTTTGTCATAGCCAGTGGGTTTGGACTTCATGTGACACACTTTTCATCCTGGCGAGACTCCTGCTCGTAGAGGGACTTTCTTCATGGCGAGAAGATAACTGATTAAAAAACCAAAACCTATCTTCTTGGTAATATACCCTGGTGTAGAACGACTGGGCGAAGAACGACCATTCATGATGATGTGGCGAAGTTGGTTAAAGACAACTTTTGACCAATCTAATTTGTATCCTCCAAGAAAAGCATGCAGCATCTTTAGTTTGTCCTTCATGACATCATCTGTTCCCAAGGTTTTGTGTTCTACAATCTTGTTGAAGATGTCAATCGTAAACTCGTAGTCCATTCACAACCATTTCTTCTTTAGAGGCCAAGTAATTTTTGCACTTGTTGGTCCCTGCTTGTTCTTGATTGTTTCATAAAAGGCATTCTGCTCATAGTAGTATCGAGAGAAATCTGGATGATAGGTGTCATCTCGGTCTGGAAAGGAGAAGGCCTTCTTCAAGTCGTCAACGATTAGAACTACGGCGGTATGATTTACCTCGGAGGTAATTTCCGATCCATCGGTAGAAACACTTGCATTCATATAAAATTGAGCAACATCAACTGGGAACCAGTAGGTATATAAGTGTGTAACAAAGTTATACAAACCGCTTTCCTTGAGAAGATTAATCACTTTTTCTCCGAATGAGCGGTCAAGAACATATTCCAAGAATCCATGGGCATCCCACATGCTTCCACCAACGATGAATGGTACTCTGGATTCGATGAAGTTGATGTCGGATGTTGGAAAGCTTTGACGTGGTTTAGAGGTCCTCACTATGATGAGGAGCTATATGAGGACCCATTCGCATTCAAACCTTCTAGATGGGATGTAAGTTCAATTCCATCAATTCGTTTAGCAATCCATCTTTTCTTTTCCACATTTTTTTTATTATTATTGGAAATGTATATATATATATATATATATATATATATATATATATATATATATATATATATATATATATATATATATATATATATATATATATATGACTGACACAATAATTGAAATTGTTCCAGGATTTTACACCAAAAGCAGGAGCGTTTCTTCCATTTGGAGCGGGAAGCAGACTCTGCCCAGGAAACAACCTTGCCAAGCTCGAAATCTCTATTTTTTTCACAATTTTCTATTGGGTTACGAGTGAGTTTAATTTAATTAATACATTTGCTTAGCTTGTTTTCAAGGTTTCTTGGATTTTTGCGCTGCTGACTGGGTTACGTTGTTTGTTTTATTTAATTTGTAGGCTGCAGCGAAAAAATCCTGATAGTCCGCTCATGTATTTACCACACACCAGGCCTAAAGACAATTGTCTGGGAAAAATAATAAGAACATCATCTTCGACTGTCAAGACAGCAAAATAAACAACCTCAACTTGTAGCTGCATACTCTATTGTCTCGATCTCTTCAAAATTAATCTATGTTATCCTTTATTTTCCCTTTAAATTTCCTTATCTATAAAAAGTTTATTGTTGGGATGATTTCTTGACCCCACAAATATAATGATGACGTACTATCTCTTCACATTTCATCAACAATTATATTTGCAAGTTCAATGAACAGGTTAATCAATTCAACCAACTTAAATCTTCAAATGTATTCAACAATTTGGGTTGGTGGCACAGTCCAAAATCAGGGCCCAACATGTTGCATGGACCAATTATCTTATTAATTTAGCCATACAAAATTTTACAAAACCATGTGTCATCTAATTAAATTACATGTCCACTTAATCCTATAAATTTTTGTAAACGAATTGGATAGTGAAATAACACATATAATAATGACATGAACAATATGGGACTAAACAAAAATACCTTTAAGTGTTTTGTTGGTCTATTTCTTGATTTTTGGAAATGTTTAATGTTTAATGTCTTCATATGTGTCTGCCTTTAAAATACCATTTGATGGTTCACATTTGTCTATGAACATATAGCAGATTTATGGATTCTCCTTTTTTTTTTTTTTTTGTAGGCTAAAATGTGTTAGTTTCTTGGTGAACTTGGTAGGGATTAGCTACACTGTATCTTAGTGTTTGTTTCTTAGTAATGTAATGTATAGCACTTTCTTATATTGGTATTAAATCCCTACATACCTATGCTATATAGAGATTTTGTTTTATTAATTAATTCCCTTAGTTGCCTTGATGTCCAAAATGTTGTTGTTTTATAGTAAGGCATTAGATGAGAGGAACCTAAACCATAGTAGAACATTTTTTTTAGTACTCTTCTTAGCATACTATATAAGTATATAGTAATTTAAGAGTCATTGGTTTGTTACGTTCCTAGAAAACTATATTATATGTGTACACCAAATAGAACCTAAACCATATATAGTAGAATATTCTTTTAGTACTTAATTTAAAAACTAACAATGTAGTACCTAAACTATGCAATATTTAATAGCTACTCTATTGTCTCTTTAAAATTAATCTTTGTTATCCTCTGTTTTCACTTTCGGTTTCTTATCAATAAAAAGTTAGTGTAGGGATGATTTCTTTAGAGTTAATTCAAGCAATGGTCCTTTGACTATGTTGATTTTTCACAATTGGTCCCCGACTTTTAATTTGGACAATTTAGACACTTGACTTTTGAATTATTTCCAATGTTGGTCTTTCCGTCAAATTAAGGTTAAGTCAACGTCAGTTTGAGGGGTAAAGTAGTCATTTCCTTTTTAGAGTATAATTTTCTCCCTTATACGCGACATACACTCTAGTCTATATACGCATGTAAGTCAACTGTTGCTTCCTCGGAAATGGCTTCGTGCCCGCACTCGTTGATTTCGTCTTCCTCTTTTTTCTCCGCGAATTGAACTCAAGCTTTTTCTTGCTCCTCGCCCTCGATCAGCTCCAGATTTTCGCTCTGTAAGACCTTATTTACTCGCCGATGAGGACTCGTGCTTCAATAAGCTTTTGGATACTATCTTCGTGGCCTGCAGTTCCGTCGTCTTGTCTCCATCGTTGTTCCTTGCCGATATCGATGCTGCATCCGCCTTCGTAGTCACATGCCGCATCCGCCTTCATAGCTTGCTGCCAGGCAAGATGTGTTCACATTGGATGTGTTTGAGGTGCCTCAAGGTTCTGGTTCAGGTTTTGTGTAGGATAGAGATGGTAACATTGTCACGAATTATCATGTTATTCATGGTGCATCAGATCTCAGGGTCACTCTATCTGATCAGCGTACTTATGATGCAAAAGTTGTTGGATTTGACCAAGATAAAGACGTTGTACTACACATTGATGCACTCAAAGTCAAGTTGAGACCTATATTCAAAGCGGTGAAATGACTACTTCACCCTTCAAACTGACGTCCACTTAATCTTCATATGACGGAAGGACCAATATTGAAACGATTCGAAAGTCAAATGTCTAAATTGTCCAATTTAAAAGTCGATGACCAATTTTGAAAAATCAACATAGCAGGAGGATTATTACTGGAATTTACTCATTTCTTAACCCCACAAATATAATCATGAGTTATCTCTTCACATTTCATTTGATCAACTATTAAATTTGCAAGTTCAATGGACAGGATAATCAATTCAACAAACTCAAATGTTCAAATTTATTCAACAATTTCGGCTGGAGGCACAGTCTAAAATCAAGGCCCAACATATTGCACGCACCAATTATCTTTTTTTGAAAGCCAAAATATTTGGCATAATTTAATTAATGAAAGGAATCAAACAATTAGGAGGGACATAGTCCCAATACATAGAGTGTTCCTGATCAAAAGCTAACGTAGCTAAAGTATGAGCACTAACATTAACTAGTCTAGAAATAATACTTTAAGAGCAATAAGTAAAAAGGGCCATAGTTGCCCGACATTGATCCTCCACCACCCCTTCATAAGATAGGATGGTCGTAGGACTAGATAGTAAATGATGTCGTAGTTGTGTACAATCGGTCAGCATATCCACATTGACTTCGTTGCGCTCCTTAAGCCATGATAAAGCTTCTTTGCATGCAAGGGCCTCCGCCATAAGGGGTGAAAAACAACTCGGTAGCTTGCCATTCGTTGCTGCCTTGAACGAACCATCCGGATGGAGTAGTACAACACCGTAAGCCGCGTCGCCCGACTGTGGACGAAAACCTCCGTCGAAGAAGCAGCGCGGACATCCCTGTTGCGTCGGTGCAGGTGGCGGTGTAGCGTGAATACTGCCCAGGCAGTGTGCTTGGGCGTACGCCGTCTTGGCCGTCACGGCACGCCTCCATGTAACGGGTGGTCGTGGTAATGCCCTCTTCCATACAGCTTCGTTTCGGGCGTTCCATAAGTGATAAAGAACCCCTACCATTGTGGCAAATTGATCATCCGTTAAGTTGGCCATAGCACCCATTATCCATTCTGGAAAAGTAGCAGCAATAATATTTATAACAGGCAAACCTGAAATATTCCAAACTATTTTAGAATAATCACAAGAAGTTAGTGTATGCATAACATGCTCATGAGATGTATCACACATAGGGCATGTAGGATCAACTTTTACTCTCTTTATAATCAGGTTGTTTGTGGTTGGTAGGATATCACATAAGGCTCTCCACAAAAAAGTTTTCCATTTTGGGTGGGACTTTCAACTTCCACAATGTGATCCACTTATCAAAAGCACCAGAATTATTCTCAAAATTTCCAACAATCTGCCTATATGCATTTTTAATAGAATACTCTCCCCTTGGATCCTTGTACCAATACCACGAGTCCTCATACTCTGGGCTAACAGGGATCCTAGCTATACGAGCCACATCGTCAGGTTCAAATAAATCGCATAAAATATGAGGATCCCAAGATTTCGTTTATTGATCAATCAAGCCTACGACTCTTGCCTCACGCAGCTCCTCAGGCATTACTGTCTGTATTAAAGGACTCGGATCATCAGGT